GGCAATTTATTAGGTTTTGCACAGTTTCCTCTGGAGACACGGGTCTTGTGTGTTCTACAAAAATGTTGCAAATCCTTTCTGAGACTTGGTGGTGAAGCGTCTCTTCAAAAGTACCTTACAATTCGGGCTATTATTTCTTTTGCTTTTAAATACTTCTTTTCACTGAGCTGCCCCCTATAAGATGGGTTAATGGCAGAAATCTTAAAACCTACATACATACAATTAAAAGCAAAAATGGTAGAGTTTGGGGAAGACTCTGTTCTCTGTGGATCTCCTTGAAGTAAACTGGTGACACTAAGTGATACTCTGTATTTCTCTGGATAATGCTATGAAGCATGATGATGGATGTTACCAGTAGATTCAATTAATTCCAGCACCATGGTTCTTCTTCACACCCCCAAAGCTCTACAGTCTCAGCTTCTGCCTTGGGGTGGTTTTATTTCCCATCACCAACCCCCTGTATCTATGTCAAGATCCATTTGCGCTACAAAGATTGAGGTCTAATGGGAATCAGCCTGAGCTCAGCTCACTTACTTTTAGCTCGCTGGTGTCCACATATCCTGCTGAAGCAGTAATGTATGACTGAGAGCTCTTTGGAAAATCCACCTGGAACATGTTAACGGTTTGTCGAGGCACTTTCCCTTTAGCGGTTGGGTGGAGGGTCAGCAGGGGCAGTGGCATCCTCTGTATTTTTCTTGGACTCGAGTTTCTCTTCAATCCGACTTGATCCCACTCCGTCCAGCTGACATTTCTCCCTGCCTTTAAGTACCAAAGGCCATCACTTTGCTTTACACTTTTTTTCTGTTCCTCCCTTGTGTCCAGCTTTTCCTGCGCTTATCTCTCCTCTCCCCTTTCAGCTTTGGGATCAGGTCTCAGGCTGACTCTAAAACGGGGGCGTTGTACTAGAGGAGGAAGGCTAAATGACTTTCTGTTGTTGACCCGAAACTGGATGTTTATCAGGACTGGGGCTGCCTGCTTTTTCGCGCTACCTGTTGTGAGAGGGAGATCACAAGTCTGTCACTGCCTTTGGTCATGTAATACACTGCCACCCACACACTATAAGCATTAAGTGACTTAGTTATGTCCTATGCAGGCTAAAAAGGCAGGCTGACACAAGAGTGGAGAGTCAGACTGGCACACATACACTGTGAGGTGTGTGATTCACATTACAAAGCAGCTGTCATTGCAAAGTAGAAAAACCATAGTAGCTTTAGTCTTTATATGCTGGTTAAAAAAGGGGGAGGAATTAGTATAGAATAAAACCTGTCCAATATATCTCAGTTTAATAGATCTGAGGCTTATGGAAGATAAGAGAATTTGCTTTTGGAAGGAGCAACTCCTTTAGTGCTATAAACAAACTCAAAATAAACCTTCGAGTTGTTGTGTCTCTCTTGATCTCTTCACACTGTTTTGATGTTAAACTGTCATCGTGTCAACTTGCATCAGCCTACGAGCAAGAAGCAAGCTGGGCCGAACACATACTCTTGTCATCATCTGCTTTCATTAACAGCACAAGAAAAGAGCTTTCATTTGGCCCAGTGAAGCCAAAGCAATGATATTATATTATTGGTGGCGGCCTCATTGTTCAGAGAATTGTTTTCTTTGAGCTTGATAATGAATAGGGCGGGACAAAACTCCAGTAAAACTTAGATATTAACGCAGAGACCATCCAGATGACCTTCTGTAATATTGGCAGGCTGATGAAGGGCAGGAGGGACTGAGAGGAATTAAAGAACTTCAGAGTGGCGTGGATTGTCTCAACCCAAGTGACAGCTGGGGTGAAGGTGGCTAGAGGTTGGAGAGATAATCTTAAGTGTAGTTCTTGGGTCAAGCGAGAACATTTGTGTGAAAGAGGTTAATTAGAGTCTAGCTACCATCAAGTGTCACCAAAGTGCCATAAAGCAAGGCATTTGAAGCCAGCTGCTGCAGTGGAGATAACAGTATGATTTAGATATTTGGGGGTCTTACCTGGGGAAATTTGGGATAATTTGAGTGACCAACCAAAAAGTAAATCACGTAACAAAAGGCTTTATTTTCAACAGATGTCAACTAGATTGGAAGTGAATTGTTCCCCATGAATACCAGGATGACTTTCATGTAACCTTATAATAATGACGTTTTTTTTTCTTTTTTAAATAAAACTGAATCTCATGACATTTCCATTATCCCTTTTTGAAAGACTATATTATCATTGGCATCAAGATTTAAGGGCTAATGAGGAAAGTGCTAAGGACATGTTGCACTGAAGCTATGTGCTAAACAAATAAAGTAGCAGAGACTAGAAGATGTTACCTTTTATAATTCCATTTATGTATTGCTTATGCATTTGGATTTCTGTTAAAAGATTTCCTTTAAGGTCATAGGTAAAAATTCTATACAACAGGATAAATGTGACCCTAGCTCAGGGGTCGGCAACCCACGGCTCTGGAGCCGCATGCGGCTCTTTAGTCTTTATTTTGCGGCTCCGGGTGGTTTGGGAAAATAAATTAGAAGTATTTAGCTGAAGTGCATTTTATTTGTGTTTAGTTCTTTTTTTTTTAACTTGCAGTTCTAAATTGGAAGATTATTGTGATTTTGAAATATAAAAATAAAATTATATCTTATTATTTTTTCATCGCTCAAAATAAGCGTCACACTCGCGGAAGCCGGTGTACCCGCCGAAACGCCATGTATTTATCGAGACTTTCAACCCCAGTTAGGCCAATTATGGATCTTCGGATCCACATTACTGTATGTCAGCAGCTGTTCTCCACCGTGAACTATGTTACAAACAAACACCGCTCACGCCTCACAGATGACAGTTTACAGTCTTGCATAAAGATGAAAGCCCCGATTTACAGATGCTGTGCGCAGAGGTTCGGGACCAGAAGTCTCATTGTAAACATATCACGGCAGACCTGACGATGTTTAGATGAAAATGCTTTTCAGCATCTCTTTATTGACCACTTTTCACAAACGGTTGCTGTACGCATACAGCCGGCTGTAGCTTTTCAGCTCACAGCCCGACACACACCAACACAACAGCAGAGAGAGCACAGACTTTAAGGCAGCGAGGCGTGATTGTGGGTGCCGCTCAGGTGCATCCGACTCCCATGCTGCGGCACTGCAGACCACGCCCCGCCACACACATTAACCAGGTAAAATACATATTTAGGCAGAATTTTGTAAATATCTATTTTTCCTTTTTCAGCAGAATAGTGCAATTTTTTCCAATTACTTTTTAAAAGCCAGGCCAAGGCTCCAAAAGCCCAAAGGTGATATAAGGGTGGCGGCTCACAACAGTTTTTGTTTGCTACATGGTTCATTTTAGTTCAGCTGGGTGTCTTTCCTTTTGTTATACTTCTTTAAGAGTTCAAAATGTGTTAATTACATAAATAAAATTGTAATTTTCTCTGTAGCACTTCATGGATTTCATAAGCAACACACCTTAGTTGCTCTGTGGATTCTTTTAAAAAGCAGATAAAAACGTTTCTGTTCAAACAAGCCTTTTCTTGATCTACGTATTTTATATTCTTTACATTATTTACATTTGATCTTTTACATTGTGTATAATTCTATTGATTGTATGGTTTATTTTAATATTTGTGTACAGCGCTTTGTGACTGCCTGTCTGTGAAAAGCGCTTAATAAATAAACTTTACTTACTTACTTTAGTTGTTCACACAAAGCACAAAGGTAAAAAAAACAATATATACAGCGTTATCTTCATTTTAGATGTCAAAAAGTATTTGCGGCTCCCAGTGGGGTTTTTTTTGCGTGGAAACTGGGTCCAAGTGGCTCTTTGGGTGTTAAAGGTTGCTGACCCCTGCCCTAGCTCCTCAACCCTATGCCTAAACCCCCGAGGACTAAATCACCATAGATAATAATTCCTAACCCTGATGCCATATTAAGGCAAAGTGTTTGATGTGTGTCACTGGAATCATTATTTACTATATTCCATGCCAAAACCAATGCCAGAACTTGTGGGGAAACAAGTTAATTACAATTTTTACTAAGTGACATATTCTAACTTAGGGTTAGAGGGTCAACTGCAAAGATGAGTTGGACTTCAAAGTGTTAACCAGTTAATTTGGTACAGGGGGCACTGGCGCTTAATTGGATTTTCAGTGAGAAAATATAATACATGTAATGTATTTGTTTGTTGCTGGTGTCTGCTTTAACCAGTTATCTCTGTATGCTTATCTGTGTGCCATATATCATCTAGTATGCACCTAATATCAAATTGTTCCCTGCTCTACATCAACATTTTAGGTGTTTATACTGTGATCAGCATTCAGACGCCACAATCATTATTTTTAAGCCAGTACGAGATGTCACGGACAGTTTAAATACATTTCTATGTCCCCAAAATTCAGCTTTTGCTATCTCTTTAAAAAGTCAGGACCTCAAAGAGAATTTAATCAAAGCTCAGTGAATATGAACATTGTTTGTCCGCGCAGCATGAGCTTGTAATGAGGCACCCACAGGGGGGAAATAGAAGTCCTAACTAAATAAAATTATGAAGCTATGAATGGATGGGGTGGTCATGAACTCATCAAACACTTACCTCGAGTTCCATCTTAAACCAGCAGCACCTTGCACAACATCATCATCCACAGGAAAGCAAATGAACTAATGATAGGCATGCAGCAGAGAGGAAAATAATTCAAAACAGTTGTCAAGTCATGCAAGGAGAAAGAATAACACTACAACAAAGTACAAAACGGAAACAAGCAAGCTGATGGGACATGAATTTTCATGATGGTTTAATGCACCTCTAAATTCCCACTGTCACGTACATATTCATTTGCAAATGACTAATATATTATGCCCATGCACACGTACTCAACAGTTTTGACTCCAAACGAATGCTAGGTGAATATATTCCAGTAATTTGAAAGATTTTACAGGTAACAACTGCAGTGACATAGATGAAGTGGCAATGGAGTTGGTATTTCATTCAAAAATAGATCCTTGGTATTGCTACCTAACTCAGATTGCAGAGAAATTGTGTAGCTTACCTAAAGCCGTCCTTGCAGGCGTGGCATCACTCTTGATCCAGAAGGAGACCCAGGAGAGAACCACAGTCAGGATGCAGGGGATGTAGGTCTGGATGGTGAAGTAGCCCATCCTCCTGCTGAGGTCGAAGTAAACGGTCATTAACACGTAGTCACCTGTTGAGGAAGGGAAAATGGAATGTGGAAACAACTGGCAAAAAAGTACAAATAATATAAGAAAGTCAGAAAAGATACTATCATGAAGTAATAATGCTGTCAAATCGAATAACACACAATAAATTTAAACTTTGCGTGTCAATACTTATGCAGAAAAATTATGTATATTGTGAGAAAATGTCAACAAATTCTTTTGGAAACCACAGAATAAGGATCCATCTACAACTTCAGAATGTGGCTGAAAACTTCTACATTTTAAACGTTACTGTGATGTCAAAGAAAATTTATATTATAACCAGAAACTTCTAAAAGCTTGCTCTTTCTGCTTATTACTGCTTCCCAAAGTGTAGAAATGCAAAAAAGACTAAACAAGCTGCACAATAACTAAATCCATGACATTCTTTTGGGGATTTAACTTACTGTTAAATGAACAACATTGTGGAAATTGTGGTTAAATTGATAATACCAGTCAATAGAGACCGACACAATGTAAGTACTTGTGGAAACTATTGCAAAAATAATAAAAGGGAAGCTTTGGAAGCTAGCCTGCACTGTGTGGCATGATTGCTGTAGAGTATTTTCATTGCTCTCAAAAGAAAGAAACCTTTGCTCATTTTTGCAGTTCTAAAATCCTCTTCAAGTTTTATAATACTGTAAGGTGACCCTGCTATTTTTTAGTTACACTTATATCCACTCACAAACTACCGATCTTCATCCCTGAGGATCCCGAGCAGCACACTGGCTCATATGTAATTAAAAAAGTCTGATGTCTAGCTGGAGGCTACATCATGCTGAGCTCTTAACTTCATCTCTGTCATCAAAACAAAGGATGGAAAAAGAATCTGAACATTAGACGGTATACTTTTTTCTGAACTTCATCAGAGCAGCAGTGACACTCACTAGATATTAAACAAAAGCAGAATTGTGCATGATGTGACAGAATGTAGGTGAAGCACTAACAAAAACAGCTACGGGTCAGTGAATGAAAACACCTCCCCAAAAAAGAGGAAAAAGAGATCTAAAGCATCTAAGGCTGTAAAGACCTACCACATATCTACAGACATAGGGATTGGGGCTCAGGATACAGATATATCCAGCCTGTATGTTGAAGTGTCTGTGGACAACATATTAAACCCCAGGTTGTCCTTAATCTATTCATTGAAATATGAATGTATGGTAAAGCACTTTGGCACAGAATAATGTGTTTGACTGGGCAAATGAGACGTGTACTGAAAGTCCTATATAGGTACCGTTCCACTTATCATTGTCTCTGGGCCAAATCTGGTTGGTCAGTCGTAACCTTTTTAGCCTAAAACCCTATACCCTTAATGATGAGTTATGCCACACAATCTAATATCTCCATGTTTTTGTTGTTTCTACATTGTCAAAATCATGTTGGTCAAGGATCAGCATGGCAACTAACCAATGATGTTGTCTGAGGATTCAGTTATCATTAACCATGAAGATCAGTTAATGCTACTAAAAACTGTTGCTAGCAACCCGATATGAGTAACCTATGTTTGACTAACAGCAAAGCTAACTTGACAATGCATTTATTATATGCTATAAATTAATAAAGAAGACACTTGAAATGCTTACCAGTAAAGAGTTTTATATATAAAAAGGGCATATTTAAATTTTTCCTGCCACATTGCAAAGCTATGACATTCGATGATTGGTCGGTTGCAATGTTAATCCTGGACCAACATTATGATGATGATGCACGTACAACACCAACACGAGGATATCACATACACCCGTTTGGACACCTCAGTATGAATCAGTAAAGATGTAGTTTGATGTTTTTCCATGGTTCTAATGGTTTTTCCAAGGGTACAGGTAGGGATCGCCCTCACAGACCTTTAATGCACATCTGTTTTGTTTTGTCATTTTGTTCTGGAAGCAGGCCAAAATATGTTAGACACTGCTCAGATCAGAAAAGACAAACAAAGGTTACCTGCAGGAGGGTAAAGAGTTAACACGTTTTTTGCTCGCTGGAAATATCTTCAGTATGTTTAATTAAGACCATTTTTGTGCATCAAAGTGAAGTAAAACTTCACTGAAATTCATCAAAATTGGAATTTTTGAAGACATCGTTTAGGACATAAAAAAAAATCCTTTTTAATTGGTTATAAAATTGCTCTCCACAAATTAATTCAGCACCTTTTTCCAGCTTTCTCCTGTCCTTGTCTTTTTTTTCCCACCCCGCTCTGTCTGTCCTTCATATTTAATCCAGCAAAGGACTCAAAGAGAGGAGCATAGAGAAGCTTAATGGAGCCCAGAAAATAGTAGGAAAAACTTCTCTCTCACGAACAAGTGTATAATGGCACTGTCAGCGTGAAAAGAAGATAAATGAGAAGAGTGGCAGAATTTACTCCGCTACCTTTCTAATGGTCCCACTACTGTAGGATGCTTGTTTAGCAGCCAATAATTGACAGGAGTGGGGAGATATTGAGCTACAACTCTTGCTGAACAAAAGCCATTGTTCGGAAACTTTGACAAAGGTCTACATATCACCCGAGTATTATTTTGAATATTTCTGAAGACTGCCTTTTGATAATAGGAGCTATTCAGATGATGTCATTTTGAATAAAACATCTGAATAAGGAAACCTTTTGTCCTCTAACAGCTGAATTCATGCTTTAGATTCAACTGAAATGATCACTTTTACTGGGTGTTCAGTAAAGTAGGAGTGCGGTGATGCTGGTGGTACTGAGTAGGGGGGGATCGCTTACGTGATTACGAATGTGCTCAGGGGCAGAGAGATTGGCACAGCCCTGGCAAGGTTTTGCATTTTGTGATTTTTTTTTTTTAAGGCATACCAAATATGACCCCGAGGACCCCTCAGACATTGGAATACACCATTTACTGTCCAAGTGATATTTGCTGAAGCTAGGAATCTAAAATGCCCTTGAAAAGTGTTCAGTACTGGCACCACATTACTTATGCTGCATTCATTTTCTGGGGTCAGAAATTTACAAGTGGAAACTCCAGAGCTTGAAAAATAAAAAAAATCCAAAACTCAGCAGCAATATGTGTTTCCATAAGTCATGACCTTAAAAATTACATCGCACTGTCTGATGTAGATATGGTTGCCTCTTGCAGTTCATCTTATATTCAAGATAACACAGACATCCATACGACCTTTATCTCAGGTCTTATTACATGACACTGACATCAGAATGTCAGTAAGAGATTTTTCAGTTTTCAGTCAGACACACTCCTCTGATATGCTGAGACACCCTATGGAATTTTATTTCCCACTGTATCTTATAAGTCTGAAATTCCCAAATTCAGACATCCAAATGATGTTCTTTAGAAACACCCCATGTCAGAGTGATCTAGCCGTCCTAAAAGTTCCCTGGAAGGCCTTCAGTTGATTGAATATGCTGCAGCAAGAGTTCTGATGAGGACTAAAAAAAGAAAGGAAAATCCAAAGTCAAATTTAAAAGGTTTCACCTCTCATACAAGATCTTGTCTGATCAGGCCCATGTTATCTTAAAGACTTCATCGTTCCTTGTTATCCTAACAGAGCTCTTTACTTTAGACTGCAAGCTCACAGTGCTACTGGTTACTAGAGTTGGGAGGCAAAGCCTTCAGCTCTGGTGTTCCGTTGAACCAGCTCCCAGTTTGCATTCAGAAAACAGGACACTCTCCTATAAGATTAGGCTTAAAGTTTTCCCTTTTGATAAACCTTATAGTTAGTGCTGGATCAAGAGTACCTGAACCCTTTCTTAGTTGTGTTGCAACAGGCCTAGGCTGCTGGGGGCTTCCCATGATGCTCTGAGTGTTTCTTCTTCATTCCCCTCTTTACACTCTCTAAGTATTGATGCACCACTCTGTATTTAATCTTTAGTTATTATTAATCTGGATCTCTTCCACAGTGTCACAACAGATGGCAGCCTGCTTCTGTAGGGGGTTTCTTCCTGTTGAGTTGAAGTTTCTCCTTTCCATTGTTGCCAAGTGCTTGCTCATAGGGGATTGTTTGATTGGTGGGATTTTTTATGTATTGCTGTAGGGTCTTTACCTTACAATATAATGCACCTTTAAGTGACTTCTGTTGTGATTTGGCACTATAAAAAAATTAATTGAATTTTTATATAATATATAGTTGAAGTAGATATCAATTGTCCTGCTCATTGACAGCCTTGGATATGTTTCACCTATTTCAAGTGAACATGCCTTCCCATCCAAAGTGTCCCTGACTGACATTAAAGAACAATTCACCACTCTACATGTAGGTCTTTTAAACATTGTGAATAAACCTCTGGTCTTTGATGAGAGAATGACGGGGGACAAGCACGTGAGGAACGCCATTGCTGGCTCTGCTCTCAGTGCCTTGAGATCAGTTACCATTTGCGTTTTGTGGGAAACCTAGCTAGCATTAGCACGTAAACAAGAACTCTCATTTATCATCTGCGCATGAGTTTTATCTCGCTAATCACTCCGAACCACATTTGCTAAAGACAAAACTTTTAATAACTCGTTTAACACTTCAGTAATGAAAGCTTTGATGACTGAGACCGAATGCAAATCATTTTGTGTTTTCAGTATTTTATTGCTACTTTTCCTAAAGCACCAGTTGTAAAAAAAATAAAATAAAATAAATAAATAAATAAATAAAAAAAATCCTTCCCTACTTGTCATTGTCAGCTAATAGTTAATAGATAACTATGCTAGTATAGCTGCACTTAGTCAGACAAGAGCGCAGAGAGATAAAGACATCCAGGAAGATCGTAGCAAGAGGCACAGCGGTATGTTTCAGTCTGGTCCAATTTGTCTTTTTAAAGACTAAAATAAGTTTATATAAAACTTGTCAACTTTGTTAAGGAAAAAATCATGGTGCAACAAAGGAGTCAGAAAAGGCTCTCTTGGGGAAGCAGAAGGAAAGGTATCAAGCACATACTCAGCCTTATTGTTAAAGATACCTACTCCTACACCAGTTTCTGCTCAACTATTGTCATTGTCAAAGAGTAATGACATCTATGTGACCACTCAGC